CTCCAACTATCCCCATACAAAATATTACGCGAATCTGTCACTCTGTTTCCACGCGAAAGAAGGACAAACAAACAAACAAACACAATTAAACATTTATAATATTAGTATGGATTGTCGCGTAATGGAGATAGTGTAAAACGTCATTACATAAAAATAATAATTAAAACTACTGATACTATCAACTATCTGGTATCCATAACACAAGCCTCGTAGCTTACCATGGAACTAGATGGCGCTATGTGTTAATGTCCCAACATATTTAGTTGTTTAGGTCATAGTCGTTGGAAACCTGTCATAGAAATCGTTTGGGGAGGCCTATGTCCAGTAGTGGACGTATTTCTGCTGAGACGTCTAAGTAAAGGCGCTAATTTTAGTAATAATTTCATTTTATTTATTTATTAAGGATCTCCAATAGAAGAAACAGAGAAGAATTCTTTGGACAGTGTTTAAAATGTACCCTTAACTACTGGAGAACACAAAATGCACTAAAACAGTGTTGATATTATGCATTACTTAAAGTTCTTACGTGTAACTAAATCTGACAAAACTAATTAACCAAACCAAAATTAAAAATTTTAAAAATAAAATGAAAGAAAAAAAAATTGTTATGACAAATATTTACATCACGAATAGAAACCGTAACATTTCTTTTTATATGTATTGTATATGTATTGTTGTTTTAACCAGTTCACTAACATATTTAGGGCTATTTGATCATGGTTTCATTTTCGTAAAAAATATTGTTTTATTTTACTTAGGTAGGAAGGAAATAATAAGCCAAACAAATCATTAAATATATTTATTTTCATACGAAATACAAGGACATCATATTAGGTATTTATCTTATATTTTGATAATAATTACATATACAAAGAACATGCTTATGAAAGCCTATTTTAGCACCGCCTTAAATTATAGACAAAATTATTTATTTTTGATTAAAAAAATAATATTAAAACAGAAAAAAAACATGGAACCTCCTTCGTGGAAGTCGATTAAAAATATATTACAATGATTTAAAGTGCCTTTACGAATAGGCCATGCTTTATTCTATCACGATTTATTTATATCATAATATCGCTATCCCTTTCTAATAAAGTAAAAAGAGAAAGATGGCAAGAAATAACGGTTTATGAGTCAGAAGTACTTAGTAATATTGAAATAAAACATACTACAAAATAATAAGAAGCTATATATTTAATTATTAAATGTTATTTTAACAAAAATATAAATACACATGGAAGTATTATTAATGTAAAAACATTAAAATTAAATTGACAATAACAGTGGCAATTGAGAAATGATTTGTTCCTAATACAAACAACTCCTGTTTTAATGTTGGAAAATGCATTTACTTATACCAGGTCTATACAGATGTACAGATGTACGAAAAACCAGTACTACTCATAATACTTTCTTAGATTTACGCGAATATTTGACATTTTAAATAAAACTATCTTTTCGGATTTTTTCGCCGATTTATTTGCGGGAACCAAAAATCCAAATAAATCCGCGAAAAGAACCGAAAATATAGTTTTATTTAAAATACTAGTACTATTCATTAAAACCCAACAAAACCTCCCCCGTCTTAATGGGGCGTCGCAGAACACTTACGCACTCAACCACGACCCCCCGACGGCAGGTCTGCCGAAGCAAACCACAATAGCCATAAGGTTGCTTCAACGATCGATTCTGCTATCAGCGGGGGTATACTTTCAACCCCTACTTTACCCGCTTCAAATTTAATTTTTGAAACAAAAAGTAGCTTATGTTCTTCTTCCTCTCCCATCCACCTCTATACCAAAATTCCTCAAAATGATGATGTTCTCCTAGCCGATTCCGGCCACGGCGGCCAATCTCATTGAGATTAGCCAACTGCGCAGGAGATATTATAGTGCTCAAGTGTACGCGCAGACACAACGTGTACTCTCTATTCCTGTCACTCTCATACTCCGGTGGGACGACTGCTCGACACGACCAGTGAGAGTTAAGGCGCAGGACCGACGGCTTTACGTGCTCTCCGAGGCACGGGAGTGAAACACCGCCAACTTCCCAACTCCGGGCTGTTACTGAGACTTTCTATACAGAAAGACTCAATAACTAAACTTGGCCCGACCCGGGACTCGAACCCAGGACCTCCGGGTGTGCAGCCGTACATGCTAGCCACTACACCACCGAGGCAGTTAAAATGCCTCAAAATGGGGAATATGCGTATAATTTTTAATAAAGGTGAATTTTTTTTTTTATAATCTTTATTGCTTTTGAATTAAGCCTATTTTTTTTTAATGAACCTAATGTCTTTTTGATTACTAAAATAATTATTAACAAGTGCAAAAATAGGTGAGATATTCAAAATAGTTGAAATGCACTGATATTCTGATCGATTATCACTTAACGATTTCTTCATAGCAAGAAGTATTAGAAATTTTAATTATCCCCACACGGATCGACTACACTGTTATTTGCAACATGGGGGTTTACGGGGGCGAAAAATCGATTTAGTTAGGTTTCATATTTGGGAAGATTCGTTTTCTCCGTATTTTCTCTCGCCACCGTCTTCATAGCGTAATGGTTAAGGAAGGGCAGAAGTTTCTGTTTTTATTTTTACAGTATTAAAAGAATATTTTTTTTATATATAAGATAAATTTGTGTATCTCGGAAAAGATTTGGATCAAATTTTGTATGTAGATAAGGTTTTGCTTTTAGAGTTTATCTTAATAGGTGTCTTTTCTGAAAAAATCCTTTTTTTTAGAAAATCGCCAAGCGACGCTCGGTCGCCGTGGTACATTAATTTAAATTTAAAATTATAAGACCTACGATTCAATAGTGATTGTTAAAATCTATTTGAATAAAATATATTTTCAATTGATTGATAAAACTTTTTATATTAGCTACAGCCATGGATAATCAGGTAAAAATCTTTCATATGTTAGAGATAATAATGGTCTATAAGATCGAGCTCAGTGTCGTGCCATAGGAGAGGCCTTTGTCCAACAATGGACGAAAGCAGGCTGAATATGATGATGATGATGTTGGGAATGTTATGGCAAAATAAAAGAACCAAATAAATTTGAACATAATTTCATAAAATAAACTAAACTACAAAATTTACAAATATACACATTAATCTAAATTAAACATACATATTATGTAAATAAATCAATTACATTATATGGAGACAATTATAAAATCATTTTCAAATGCAATCAATAACATTGTAACTCAGCGTTGTGATCATTCAAAAATAGTCATTTTCATACACTTAATGTCCAAATCGATACTAATATTATAAATGTGAAAGTGCGTTTGTTTGTTTGTCCTTCTTTCACGTGGAAACAGAGTGACGGATTGGAGTGATCTTTTGTGTGGATATAGTTGGAGGGCTGGAGAGTGACATAGGCTACTTTTGACCGCGGGAGATTATCTCATTCCCACGGGAATACACGTTATAATACAACCCACAATAACTCATCATTCCTATGTGTATATATAATATATAGTCTATCTATTTCATACTAACCGTTAAAACGTACCTAGGGATGAACCCGAGCGAAGCGAGGGTGAGTCGCTAGTTCAACATATATACAATACTGAGTTACAATATTTTACTTTGCAATTGTCAAATTGTTGAATTTATACAAACCATTTGTTTGCTTTTATTTCATAAAGATAATAAAATATAATATGTTATAATACAATTAAAATTAATTAAAAAAAGACTTGTTATTTATTTAACATTCTGTCTTTTTCTATAGCACTTTCGTTTATTTTTATTATTAATAATATTATTATAAAATTACAAATAAATTTATTAAGAGGAAAAGATCAATTTTAAATAATCACATAATTCAAATAATATTTATTTCATTTTTTTATTAAAATTAATACATATTTAATAGTAAAATAATATCGTAACACTAACCATAAAAAATAATTAAATAAGAAAAGAAAGTAGAATATTTAGTTTTACAAAGTGTTCATTTATTATATAATGACTTCGTCACAAAAAAGCTACTTAAAAATAACCAAAAAAATAATTCCATCGTTAGAATGGAAAATTTTAAAACAAGCAATTAATTAATAATTGGAACAACTTTCGAGGTATTCAAAGGAAAATGTAGCATTAAAATAAATTCTCATTCGGTGAAGATATCACATAACATAATATATACATACATACATACATACATACATGCATGCATACATACACACAAATTAAAAAAAAATATAAAAATATGTGTAGATAGCCTTATACATTAGTGTAAATGAATTATCATTGTACATTATACTATCCGAATATTTAGTTTAGAAGCTATATGTCATCACAATTCATTCAATAACATGAATATTTATTGGATATATTATGAATAAGTTTTTTATAAGTAATTCTTAAATTTAATAACAAAAAATGCTTTACACAACAATACAAAGCGAAGTAAACATGGTAAAAAAATATAAAAATTATATATGTAATTTCTTAATTTTCATTTGCTGTTTGGAAGAAAAAAATAAATGTGTACTTTTTTAAATAAATAAAAAAAAATGAAAAATTCAATAAAAAAATGCAGTGAAAAATAAAAAAAAAACATCCACACAAAAAGAATGTAAATTGTTAAAATAAAAGTTATAAATATGGAACGATTTAAAGAACAAATTCAAAGTCCAATGAATCCTTTATTACTTCGCTTTGTATTAATCATACATTAAACTAAATGCTATATCAATGTTAAGGCATACATTAGCGTCTTATTGCTTTAAACGTAGTTTTAAAACAACGTTAGTGAAATTAAAAAACTTTTAATTCTATACAAAAAAAATGAAGAAAAAAAAATGGATGACAACCATTTCGAAACAACCGAAAAAAATATAGAAATCAATAATCTGAAATAAACAATGGCAATAGAAATTAACGATTTATTTTAAAATTATTATGACACTTTAAATAATTTCCGTTAAAAAAAGAGAAAGACTTAGAATTTCCGAAAAAAAAATGGCTGTTACATATCTTTCAACACGTGTTTCAAGATGGCACCCTCGTTATTTCTCATTTGGTTTATTCCAGTTTCCATTGTATTTATTGTAATTACTTTGTTATCTGATTCTATGGATACTTGGGAACTTGTTTCTAGGTTTTGGAAAAGAAGATTGTTCGAACCCGTCGAAGGGTTTCGTTTATGGCCGACTTCGAAGACTGGATTCGGTCCTGAAAAGATATATTTCTTATTAGACACACTTACAAATTACAATATTTCTAAGCACTTGTAAAGAAATCGTGGAAATAAGATATTAAAAACCGTAATTGTATTTTTTTTATGTAGAGGCAAAAAAAGTCATGAAAAATATTAATACTCGTTAACTAATATAATATATTACTAATATGATAATTCTAAGATACTATTCTAAAAATACTTCACCAAATCCGGGCGGACTGAGAATGTCTTTCGAAACTTGCTATGTTTCAGACATGCTGGTTTCCTCACGATGTTTTCCTTCACCACAAACAAATGGTAATCATGTTGGAAATGATTTGCACATGGAAATATCAGAGGTGCGAAGCCCGGGATTTGAACCCGTTTCCTTGAAGCCCAGGGCTACCTTGAATTGAATTAATTGATAGACTAGCAACTCACCTATAGTCGAACTCTTTCTAGAACTTGCCACAGACGCTCTGCCACCTTGCAAGCCCATCATATCAGGTAACTGGGCCCTTGGTCTGGATTCATTCTGTAGAAACTTCACAAACTCTGCGGCTAAGCTGTCGCCCGCATTAGAAGGACGTACGAGACCCAATTTCTCACATTCCGTCTGATTAAAATCTAATACTGTCGACAATATCCTGAGAATTTGTGTTCTGGAAAAATATAAACGACATTTTTTTTTATTTAATAATTAATATTAGCTAGGTATGTACGTTTTGACGCTTAGTATGGAATATATAGACTATACTTACATAAGTATGATGAGCTTTATATCCCTTCCACCCCCATTTTCACCTCCCTTGGGCCCTAACCATATTAATCCCTGACTTTCTGGATAAAAACTATCCTATGTTCTTCCCAGGCTCTAAAACTATCTCCAAACCAAACTTCATATAAATCGGTTCAGCGGATTAAGCGTGAAAAGTTAACAGACAGACAGACATAGTTACTTTCGCATTTATAATATTAGTATGGATGTCTGGGATATTGATTTGATTAATTGTGACTACTAGTCATGTAGTTAATCTTCTCTACAAAATAAACTTCAATAAAACAAAAATGAGTAAACAAAATCTCAATACTTTACTATTATCTACATATACATATTCAGTGTTCATTTAACCGATTTTAAAGGAGGTATTATTTTAACGCCTTTGTAAATTCCTTACCTATTGAGACTACTTTGCCCGGCAGTCATCACATAGTTAATAACCAAGTTCTTGACTAAATTCTTATCGACTTTGTCTTGTTGGTTTGATATGGCATTGTAATATCTTTCTTCTGCCGCCGCTACAGATGTTTGTAGAGTTCGAACTGAGAGTCAAATGGGGGTCAAAATTAAATATTATGTAACTTTTTAAACAGTTAACCAGAATAATAATTAATATGATAGAATTGATAATACAAACTAATAATAATATGCAAATAATTAAAAAAATATATTAAAAAAAACAAAAGTATTGTCAATATTTATATTGACAGATAAAAAATGTACTATTTTACAGATAATAAAACAACTAAACTAATCGAATAACTACTCTCACCATGCGTATTGTAGAATCGATGCAAGCGCCATCACGATCTCAAAGTATTATTCAGTCACTGGGTTGAGAAAAAAGACACTGACAAAATGTGAAGACCAAAAAATTTATATTTTATGGTCACATATCAAGAAATGTACAAACTTGAATTTGTTTTTGAAAATATTTCCTATATTAAAAAAAACATTTTCAATCAAATTCAAAATGATTACCGAGCCATTTAATAGATAAGATTTTTTTTAATTCCAATACACCAATTTTTCCAGTCGGTAATATTTTGAATCACAAGTGAAAGTGATCTTCGTTCTCATTTTCATTCTACCAGTACCTGAAGTAATACTCAGAGACAATGAGGCTTTCTTCTTTGGATCTCTATTCTTCTACTGGATGGGAATATAAAATAAAAAAATCTTTGATAACATGATTTTTTTGTAATTTTGAAATGGATTTAAAAATATTTTTCATGTTGTCAAAGAATATGGACATAAAAACATTCAAAACGATAAAAAAGTGCTACAAAAATGCAAGTGCGAACGGAAAAATCGATGCAATTAGTGTCAAAAGGTTCAGTCTAAATAATTTTTTTGTGGAAATTCAACATCAATATATTATAATCTATATTTTTTTACATTATCATGAAATATTTGACACTTAAGCATAATATAAAAACAAGCAAAAAAAAAACAAAATAATAACAAAATGGTGAATAACACAGACGTCACGACGTGTTATACCAACTCCTCAATCAAACCCCATATGGTAATCTGAGTTGAACGCGATTGACTGTCACACCAGACAGGTGTTATAAACAGCTGTCAATGTCAGTTTGACAGATCGCGATGTCAAAAAGCCTCACAGTTACCAAATGAGATTAGACCGAAGTTGGTGCAAGCTCGGCTCTGGACAACGGCTGGGAAAGCTTTATAAATTAAGATTTACTATTTTTGAAGTGAAAACTTTATAGGCAGGTTTGGATGGGGATTAAATTCATGTAAGTCGTCATCGACATGGTCACGTGACGTGTTAACGCTAACACTCAGAGTGCCGATAGATGTCAAAACCAGATAAATGTAAACAGTTTTAATTTACAAATTTTAATTTAAGATCAAACAATTAATTTGAACATCCAAAAATAACAACTGTTTGTTTATAGTTTTAAGTTTTCACTTGTGTCAGCAGTCCCCATGACTGCTTTTTATATATTTTTTTCAAATTACATGTTCTATCGTATCGTTAACTTTAATTTGGTATTTTATGCTACCACTACAAAAAATATATATATTCATTGATAAAATATTTACTAATATGGCAAATCTTTTCATAATTTAATTCAGATACTAAGTTGTAATTTACAACTTAGTTTGATTAATTATTATTATTTAAAAAAATGTACATCGACGTGAAGTAAAAACTGAACAAATGCTAAAATGAAAGATATACGTACATACATCGAGCAACGAATAAAAACTTAAAATGTTAATGATTTATGATACATTCATAAATAAATATATTAATTAACATTACTAACAACAAAACGACATTAAAACAGACAATACAAGACACACGTTCAAAGCAACTACACAACGATTACGTAAAATTTCACAAATGTATGGACAGTATCAATGAATAACCTGGTAAGTAGTTATATCTAAGCCAACATTTCTTAAAAAATATAAAAAAAAAACTATATAAATAACTAAAACCGACTTGCCAAGTTATCCACGCACACTATCCATTCATTTATATATAACACGAAACTTACGTGTGCCAGTTAGTTTGAAGGAATGCGACATGTGACTTTATACCAACTGATAGCCTGGGGGTGAACGACCCCAGAATTACCAGCTGATATTTAGCCGAATGCCGAATTTTCGTCCGAAAATTCCAATAAAAAAATTACAATTGAAAAAAAGACCCTCATGTCATTAAGATATTAAAAAAAAATTGAAAGAGAAAATATATAAGTCTTGAAAATAGAAAAAAATCTATTCAAACTTATTTTTGTATAACAAAATTAAATCCTTATTAAAAATACACCATTCTTAACACGAATAACATATAATTATAATATAAGAAAACATTCTACATCACTATTCTATACAATGTAACTAAAGTTACTATGAACAAAAATAAAAAAAAAAACCTACAACATACATTATATATTACAATAAAAACAATCTATATATGCTTTCAGAAGGCATACAAAACAAATCTTAGTTATTCATATATTACAAGCAAACTACAATTTTCTCAAATATCTATAAAACTATAGTAAAAAAAAGGCAATCAGAAAGCTAGATCCAAAGAAGAGTGATTAAAAAAATACTAAAATATCTCCTTCGAATTGAGATATGTCTTGTACCCATTAATGGAACGTTATATGAAGTAAGGTAAGCCGACTTTAAAATCACCATATATTAATAAATTATTTTTTCTCTTAGGGTGGATTTTTTAAATACGAGTATATATATATATGAGTAGGGACTAGCTTGATTCGACATACAAACTTTCATCCCCATTTTCACCCCCTTAAAGGATGATTTTCGGTATAAAAAGTATCCTATGTCCTTCCCAGGATCTCAAAATATCTTCTTACCAAATTTAATCTAAATCGGTTCAGTAGATCCAGAAATTACCTCCTACAACGTCACAAAGTTACAAACTTTACCTCTTTATAATACTAGTATAGATAAAAATATCTAAAATTATCTTCATAAAAAAAGATTCATGAAAATAGGTTCACAACCTCCATGACAAAATAAACCAAAAATTGCCTGAATCATAAAAAATATGAATAACTAAGATTTATCGTTAAAAAATGAAAACTATAGCAAAAATTCCAGATCAATCTTACCTTGTTCTTTCAAATCGTTTATTTGAGCAGATTTAGTCTCAACCTGATCACCAAGTCTTGTAGCCGCTTGGAGGCCAGCTATAGAATCTTCCAGTTTACTGTTGAGACGCGCTATTTCTTTATGTAAATTCTCATTTTGACGTTTGACATCCTCCATTTTGTTTCTAATTTTCTCTGTAGCTGCGCTTACGTCTCTTTCTTTGTCTGGAATTGGGGGATTAGATTTTTTGATTACAAAGTTTTTTGTTGTTATCAATATGTTAATCCTATTAACAATTGTTTTTGTGCAACTTTACCGCAATGATTAAAGTCTTTCATGGATAAACAGTTCATTAAAACAATCGGTCATCATATTCTACAGGATTTCGTTGGTTCGATATCCACATAAATATTTCGAATAGATTTCGAATTGTACGAACATAAAAGCTACGAAGGCTTTAGAACAGACCAGATTTTTAGATTACATTTTAAAATTTGTGAAAACCCTACAAGTTTTTTAAGTGTATTTATGCGTTGTACATTTTAAAATATCTTCCAATGGTTACTTACTCAGATATAACAGCGTAAAATCTGCTCAAAGTAATATAAATTGTGGATACACTATACTATATACTAGCGATAGATATATTCTCGCTTCATTCGGATACGTCTCTAAGTGCCATTTATATCTATAATTTTATATGTTATAGGCAGAGCTACCGCAATGCCATCCCAAATTCGGCAATTTTTGTTTACTAACAATAGCTTATGTGTCACTCTATGTCATGATTAATCTGTGCACTAAATTTCTTCTAAATTGGTTCAGCTGTTTCAGCGTGAAAGCGTAACAAACATACACATATGCACGTACAAAACCCAATAGTAGTGATAAGACAAAAAAGCTGTAAATCATTCTTACCTAATTGAAATTGTTCCAACACAACTTGCAAGTTGGTTAAGGCAGCTTCACTTTTGCTCTTGGCGTCTTCAGCGTCACTTAACTTCGATTGTACTTCTTCCCTTTGTTTTTCTAATAACTTGATCTGGTTCCTTAGAGTTTCCACTTCTTGATTCGCTCGAATGCTGTTGACGAAAAAGTTAACTATAGTCCGCGAGCCAGCAATAAATTTTCATGACCAAGTTCCTCACGGACGATAACTCGTAAAATGCTTTAGAGAGTTGTGTCTCGAATACACTCTTCAGGGTATCATCTGACAACCTTTCCACCAAGATAAAGTCAGCTGACATTTATATTTATTTACAATAGCTTAACTGTCATCTGATAAATTTTTAATTAAGAAGAAATCAGTGATTATAGATACATACATAAATATATTTTTTTCAAATTCGTGTGACCAGCTGACGTATAACAACGACTTTATATTATCACTTTATATTTTCTTTAACATATTGGATTAGCTATAGTTTGATTATAAAATTTTCAATCGGGAAGTAATGACTAAATATATTATTTCTTCTAGGCGCATAGAAAGTCAAGTTATCTAAGTAAAGATAGATTTAACGTCATTTAACTCACCTATTACTAGTATAAACAGTGCTAGTCTGCTTAGCCCTTTCCTCCACTTGGTGCAACCTCGTCTGACACTCTGTCAGTCTCTGCTCAGATGTCATCAGTTCCTGCGTGTAACTTTCCTCTGTTTCCACCAAGTGATGACGTAACCTTTCCAACTCCCGAGACGAGTTTTGTTCTTGTTCTGACAACTGCAATATCAATTACATTTCATTAAAATTTAAGTTCTTTAAATCTCCGAATACCTTTTTTTTTATAAATATAATATAATGTTGGTTAGCTTTCGATGTCGGTTCATCATATACATAGATATTAAACTACTTAAAGTCATTATCTTCAAAAGAATAAAAACTAGCAACTTATTGTAAACAAAGCAATTGAAAGATCATTGAAACATACCTGCACATTTTCTGCTGTCAATTTCTTTACAGTTTCTAATTGGATGGTCAAGCTCTTGTCCAAATCTTCACATTTTTTGTTTAACTGTTTTATAGTTTCACTGTTATTGGCAAATTCAGATTTCAATCTATCGTAATCGCTTATATTTTGATTTAAAACCATTATAATTTCATCTTTTTCTTTCAAAGATAATCGTAGAGTCTCACAATTTGAACAAATTTCGGAATGGTTCTTTAAAAGCATGTCCTTTTCTTCTAATATTCTTTTAAATTCATTACTTTGTTCCAACAAAACGTGATTCAGCCTTTGAATTTCATTATGATATTGGATACTTTCATTATGTTTCAAATTAACTAAATTTATCAACTCCGTTTTTTCTACATTTGTATTATTTATCACAGTCTGCAATTCTGTACATGTGTTTTCTAATAATAATGACTTATTTTTAATTTCAGTTAATTCATTTAATTTAACTTCAAAATTACTTTTGGCTTCTTGTAATTCCTTTTCTATTGCTTGCTTTTCTTCTAATAATTTTGCGTACTCGTCATTTGGCAGAGTCGTGTTTTCTGACGATTTAATTTTGTCAGTCAACTCAACTATAGACTGATTAAGTTCTTTGACTTCTTTATCTCTACTATCTATGATTAATTTATATTCAACATACGTTTTTTCTAAATCATGCAGTTGGTTTGTCAATTTTGTTATTTCTGTATTTTTGTTGTTTGTCTCATCGGTAAGGTGGTGAACTTGTTGAATAGCGACTATTTTTTCTTCATGTATTTTTTTCAATTCTTCTTGGGTAAGGTTAAAATTAGTATTGGCATTTTGAAGTTGTTTTGTTACATCTTCCAATGATTGTTGGATTCGATTTATTTCCTCAGTTTTACTTTGGACAGCATCTTCCAGAATTGTAATAGTTTCTTTCAGTTTATTTAAGTCTGTATTAGATTTGTTTATAGACGAGTGTAAATTATTAATTATTGAATCTTTTTCAGCGACAGTAAGATTAACTAGTGTTTCAAATTCATCTTTTAAGACCTCAATTTTGCCATCTATGGTAGAAAAAGTGTCTTGTATATATTTTTTCTTGTCTAGGAGTTCCTTATTCTCTTCTGTAAGAGCATGTAACTTAGAATCATCTTCTTGATCATTTAGGTATTTTAAAGAATTATTTCCAGACGCTGTTTGTTGTTGACTCTTTAAGTTTAAGGCTTCATTTGTCAATGATTCTACTTTATTTTTTAATGTGGAATTTTCTTTGATTACATCATTTAGCTTAGCAGCTATTTGCTTTTTTAACGTAGAAATTTTTTCAGCATCACTTGCACACACATTTAATGCTTCGTACCCTTTAACTTTCTCTCTGAATATAATATTTTCTTTTTCAATTTTTTGCTTTTCAGTGATAATATCATCCAACTTATTCTCCAGATCCTGTAATTTATGCTCAAGGCATATTTTCGCAGATTTTATTTGATTATGAGAATCATTTAAGGCCAGGATTTCTTGTTTTAGGTCATCTACTTGTTTAGTTAGCAAAACTTTATCATTTTCTAATATATGAATATCAATAGCTAGTTGTTCATTTTTAGAATTAGCTGAGCTTACGCGCTTCTTTAAATTATCAGTCTCATCTATTGCTTTTTGAATCTTTTCATTATTATTAATATTAGAAGCACTTTCTAATTCGTTTACAGCTTGTGTTTGTGTTTTACATATTTTCAATTCATTAAGCATTGATGTATATTTATTTTTCATATCACTCAGACTTTCCTGCATATTTTTCTTTTCATTTTGTACTTCTGCAAGTTCTTTTTCAATTCTCCTTATTTCAGATTCAAAAGTTTTGTTAATTCTATTGCAATCTGCTAATTCTGATTCCAATTTCACGAGGTTATCTTCATGGGTTTCAATGATAGGCTCAAGTTTGGATGTATTTTTCAAAGCAGTTATTTCTGATATTAGAAAGTCATTGTTTTTTTTCATTTCTTCTAATTCACCTTCAAGATGTTGGATATCGGATGTAAGGTATTCATTTTCTGTGGTTACGTCTTCAATTTGTGATTGTAAATGATTTATGTTGGAATTTTTTTCCGAAAGTTTTTGTTGAAGGGCGTCAATATCCTTTTTAAATGAGTTTATAGTTTTGAATACACTTTCTAATTTATGCATCACGATATTCTCAGTTCCAGAAGGCATTTCTCCAAGATAATCTACAGGTAAATCGAAGTTGATGTAACGATTGTATAAATGTGTTATTTTATCTTGTATCAAAGTTTTCATTTCTGATTTAGCATTTCTATCCAATTCACGTTGAGCGAGCTGCCGTTTCAATTCTTTTATATCCCTTTTTAAAGTTTCGATTACACCCTTAGCATTATCATCTATATTTGTTTCATCTAAATGTTCCTGGTTGGAATCACGTCTGTGTTTAAGTTCATGAATTTCTTTTAACAAGTTGTCATATTTTTCTTTTGGAACCATATTTGATGCTTCTGTATATTTTGTTGCAATTTCTAAGTCGTGTTCTAGTTTAGTAACTTGCTCTTGCAATTTAAAAACTTCTTCATGTAATTCCTGGTTCTCTTCTTGAAATTTCTCTGCGTTTTCTTTTAAAAGACTATGTATCCGTTCCAAGTTCTGATATTTGTGATGTAGCGTATCGTAATCTGATTGGGCTGCTTTCAAATTATTTATTTCTTGGTCTCTTTCACTCAGTTTATGGAATAATAGCTTTATCTCTGCAGAATATTCTTCATTAGAATTCTTTAGTACCTCATGTTCATTTTTTAGGATTTCAAAATTCCTTTGTAGCTCCTTCTTCAAAGTGAGTAGCTTTTCCATCGCAACTTGATGTTGATTATCTAAGTCTTCCAAGCTACATGTTAAATTCTTGTTTTCCTCCCGAAGCCGGTTAACTTCTTCATCGTTATCTAAATTTTGCTCAGTATTGTCTCGTTCTCTTAGGTTGGAAAGTTCATTTTGTAAGGCTTGTATTTGTAATTTGTATTGTTTTTCGATATTGTGATCGATCTTCGACACTTGCGGCGGAGGATCCCAGTACCACGTCGATTCTTCTTCTTTGACGCCATTTTTTCGTGAGAGTCTCTGAGAACAAAAAGAAAATAATATATAAATCTATTATGGTAAATCATAATAAACTTAAAAGTTAAAAGACGATAGTTATAATACATCATTCTAGAATATGCTAACAATAAAACAGTTTAACCATTATAATATCTAATTAAGGCGGGCAAAGCCTTAAAATAACCTACGTCTTTTAAATTATTTAAATAAGTTACATTCATAATTGTTGGTTAAGTACATTTATGTATGTTTAACAAGTAAAATGTAATATATAACTTAAGAACATTGATAACTAAATGACAGGATCTATATTATTTAGGCTAACATATCTTATATATATATATATATATATATATATATATATATATATATATATATATATATATATATATATATTATAAATGACTTTGGCAGGTAAACCACAGCGTGACTTAGCAGCAGCGTTAGCAGCTTGTCGGTAAGCAACAGCGCTTGCGAATTGTAGGTAAAAGAAGTAAGCTCTTTAGTAATTCCGCAAGAATTTTAACCTATTTAAGGCATGTTAGAAGTCTTTATCTCCTAAAAATGATTCGTACTAAAAAATAGTAAAGTAAGAACAGAAATACGAGTATAAATAGCAGGACCATCCATTACAATTACTAAGAATGTCAATCCTTGTCAACTTTACAAGCGAATAAATCAAAATAAGAAAGTTACGTTTGAGACTTCTCCGAAGAGTCGTACAATATATTTCTTGGTACAAAAACTTTCGACCAGTTTTAGTATGTAGTGTCTTTGAATTAGTTAAATATCCGAATACCGTTTCTTTCTGTAAATCAACGAAATTCAACATTTTTTAAAATCCATACTAATATTATAAATGTCAAAGTAACTGTGTCTGCCAGTCACACTTAAACCTCTGAGCAGATTACCATAAAATTTGGCAAGGACATAGATCCTGGGGACGGACATAGGATGGCAAAAACAAGTAACTTAGTAAACAAAACGTAAAGAAGTACGAGTAATAGTAGGTAAGTCTATAAGTATCATAATATATACCTATAAGTATATTCCTTTTTAAATAAAACTATCTTTTCGGATTTTTTCGCGAATTTATTTTGATTTTTGGTTCCCGACGTTTTAAAAAATATTGTAAGGTACTTTGGTGCCATTTTTCAATTTTTTGGAATTCATTTTGTTATTTGTGGTAGGCTGTCTGTAACAACTGTATAATAACTAGTATATATGATCTGTGATAATACCTTGGAGACATCTAACACCTCGGTCTCTCCCGTGACCATGATTGCTGTAAACTTTACAGTGTAAAGCATTCGAAACGTCGGGAACCAAAAATCAAAATAAATGCGCGAAAAAATCCGAAAAAATAGTTTTATTTAAAATGTCAAATCTTCGCGTAAATCTAAGAAAGTATTATATATATATATATATATATATATATATATATATATATATATATATATAAAGGTATTTATATTACCATATGATATTTTAAGTTTACAATCATTTTCAACATATCCTAAAAGACATTTTTACTGAGAATCTCTTATCTTGTTTTTATGTTAGACGTTCCGAATGATTTGTAGGAAATAGCAGTTTTGTCTTCATAACTGTACCGCATTTGAAACGTTGCGTCGGGAACAAAAAGACGTAAAAAATCGGGTAAATATTAAGATTTATTTAAAACCTACAAATAATTAATTATTGTCACTTAGTGTTAGTATAGGATTTATTAGTTCTCTTTTATTTAGTCTTCTTAGTCCATAAGTCTTTTAGGCCCATAAGTGTACTCTAAGTGTCGATGAAAATGAACTTATCGTTAGCTGTTGTCTAAAATAGAATAAAAGAAGACAAGAGAAAAATTTAGAAGGGCCATACCTATACTTGTTAGTAAAAATGAACAACGTATTTATTTTCTGCTCATGGTTAATTAACTTTTTTCTCATAAATATTTAAGTCATCCTCTAAACTATTATTTGAATATAACGCAATTCATATCGCAATCTTTAACCTCCAAATATTTCAGAAACGTGACACTTTCGAGCATCATGTTGCTTATTTCTTGTTGTAAGTGTCATCTATCCATACATACTTATTCGTGCATAGCTATACTTTGAAAAATTCCAAATGGCGGCGTTTCAGATTTTTACTTTTTTATATGTATTCCTCATATTACATGATATATATGCCGCTAGTTAATTATAAAGCTTGAAATCAAGAAATTTAATGGTCAAAAGGGAAATAAAATTACATGTTTTCTCTTTCTCACACTCTTTCTCTGCTATACGTTCTTAGGTCAGATCTACACTGAAGACCATATATTAAATTATTTGTTATGAAAGAAAAAACATCTTATATTGCTTAGAAACAAAAGATAAATTTGTTAATATTTACATTATTTCTAAATTAATATATTACGTTCAAAGCACACTAACTATGTCGCAAACTACCTTGCAGTTAAAATTTAACTAAAAAAGTTAACTTATAAGGAAACTAGGTATCTAACAAAGAATTAGTCAAGCCGAAGTTTTCCTTATTGGTCTGTTAATAAAGATTAAAATTGGCTAACATAACTGAAGAGTTCTAAAACGCTAGTTCAAACACGATACGTTATCTTCGCTTTATGGCTTACTGACTCACGTAACAGACACACATGCAGGTTTTCCCCTTTTTATTTCTATCGATAACCATTTAAAGGTTATGGTAATTTTAGTGGTTTTTTAACCATAAGTGCCACTTTAGGTTTATATTCGTGAAGGTGAAAATAAAATGAATCACTTGGGTTCAAAAAATCTCGAATTTCTAGGTTTTATAAAAAAAAATATGGTTTATAGGTAAAATACTTTCTTAGATTTATTTAAAATTATAGTTTGACAAAAGAAATACTTACTTCAATATGACTCAAATATGAACATGATTGCTGTTAAGCATTCGAATAGTCGGGAACCCAAATACCAAAATTTCGCGAAAAAAACCGAAAACAACAGTTTTATTTAGAATGTCAAATATTCGCCTAAATCTAAGAAACTATTATGAAATACTTCAAATCAATTTTCAAAGCTGCAACAAAAAAGTCGGGATAAAAAGACAAAACTGCATAGAGCGAAACAGCCATTGCCAAATAAGATACTTTAAAATCGCGTGAAAAAATATATTGACATAAGCTTCTATTATACATACATAAAATTATATGAAATAAATAATTTTTTGAATACTTCGTTTTTATAGTCGGTTCAAATACACCAACTGTGTAGAATGTGAGACGAATTACGTTTGTCCTTGCGCGTATGTAGTGGAACCAACGTTATATATCTAATTATTATGTACATTTGTGTTAGTAAGTACAAATAACACCATTCAATTAAATTAAAAAAAAAACTCTCGAAAAGGTTATAACTATATAAATTATACAGCCAATTATAAAATAAGGTTTATTTGAATAAAATAACCAGATTGCCATTAATTTCTAATTCTACGAGAATATATTTTATAAATGAAAGACATAATTTAAATACTATGTTTATACTGTTTACTTGGGTAGCTTTTGTATTTTTTTAAATTGCACACAGGCAGCGACACCTTTTGGCAAATTTTATAACTAATATTAGCTTATCAGTTCCTCTTAGGATTCCATTAAGACGGGGGAGGTTCTGTGGATTTTTATTTTTAGCTTTCCTAGACAGTGAGTCATAACCACTTGTATGTATACAGATGGTATGCATAAATGCATATCGATTATTATAAAAAAAAAATCAAGTCACAATTTATCCGTGAGCTAAATCTCATCCAAATCTATCCAGCCGTTTCAGCGCGAAGGAGTAACGAATGCACACAGATATACAAAATTTCACATTTCTTTTAGAAAGACTAACAGTATCTGTGGTGAAATTCGACCAATCCTCTTTAAACTACTCAATTCAAAAAATTGCAATTTTCGTCCTTAGCATATTTAATTGTAATTTATTGGTATCATTTATATTATTTTGATTTCACCGCAAATATCTTTCCCATTTTAGTTCTGCTTTACAATTCTTAATTTTCTTTAAGAACCTTCTTCGAGGCATTAAGACAAGATTCGTTTACTTGAGAAAAAATCGAAATCGTTACTAAAACGTATAAATTAAAAATCGGTCAAGTGCGAGTCGAATTGGCACACGAAGGGTTCCGTACCAACGTACATGCACTTTTTATTACTATGATTTTTACTCTATGTGTGTGTTATATTTATTAACTTCGATGATCGATTACGTTAAAAAAAATCTTGTATTTTTATTTTTTATTGTAATTTATTTTTATTATTTGTTGTTATAGCTGCAATAGAAATACATATTCTCTCTATCTCTAACCTATTACGGTTCATGAGATATAGCCTTATGACAGACGGACGCACGGACAGCGGAGGTTTAGTAATAGGGTTCCGTTGGCAAAAAATTATAATCATACTACTTACAAATTATAAAAACTTTTTTCATAAAAAAATTACAATAAGAACACCGTCATAGATAATGAATTATATTTTTTCTACTAATAAATTCTACCTATCTAGAAAGGTGATTCGAAAATGACTTCATAATACTTAGTAGTCACAAGAATTGTTTTTTTTAACAATATATAAACGAGTTTTTTTAGTTTCCTCAGTAAGTGAAGCGTGAAAGCGATAACTCAGCGACAAGTAAAACCTACCGAATAGGTACACTACTTTATGATAATACCACGTCAGGTTGTTCGTGTCACAGCAAATAAATATGTTGGGACATTAACACACAGCACCACCTAATTCCGTGGTAAGCTACGAGGCTTGTGTTATGGATACCAGATAGTTGATACACTACACATATATAACTTTAAATACATACATATTATAAATATAAACACCCATGACTGGAGTACAAACATTCGTGCTCATTACACAAATGAATGCCCCCAGCGGGGCTTGAACCCGCGACCACTGGCACAGCAAGTAGGATCACTACAAACTGAGCCAAACGTGTCGTCAAATATGGACGCCAACGACAAACGTGCCG